AGGTTAGAAAAATCTATTTTGATCAAAATAAATAAGTATTTTGGATTATTTGGAAGAGTGTGTTAATATGGTCATATAAATATAGATATACGAAATAATTGTTGAGATTGGTTCAAATTAAATTAAAGCTTTTATACTCCTAACAACAAAACTTGTGCATACCTTTTCGGGATCCCTACTTTAAGTTAGATTATAAGGAAACAAACAATTTTTAGAGATACATGCAATGTAAAAATATTTAATACTCCCATAACATGTGATTTTTGAAATTTTTAAAAGTTATAATGATTATTCGATGAAGATAAAATTCAGTTGAAGCTTTATACGTAATTGTATTGACAAAACTTTATGTAGGTATACTTTAAGCTGGATAAGAAAAACTAATACAATTTAAAATATTAGATAGAGTATACTGTGGTTTTATTTAAATTTTAGAATTTATAAGGTTATTTATACCTAATGATTGTTCGATGTAGATAAAATTTTGTCGAAGCTTTTATAGGTACTTGTATTGACAGTGTAAGGAACTTTAAGAAGGTTAGCTATTGAATTTTTAAAAAGAATTTACAGTTTTTTAAAATTAAGTATCTAATGGTTTTATATTTGAAATGTTTAATATTGCTTATTTCCAAGAGCCAGTTGTTCAATTATGATGTCTATTTTGTTTTACTCTGGCATAAATATTTTCAACTGTAAAACTTAGCTATTTTAAGATTTTTAAAATTAATTAAATATTAAAAGGGGTTAATTTTAAAGAAGAAATCTAAAAACAACACCTTAAAATTATTAAAATTTGCAAATTATTAAATGTTTTTTATTATTTTACAAATTTCCAAACTTATTTTTTTTCTATATGTGAGTTTTTGAACTTTTATCGATTTTAGATTCTTTAAATTTTTATTTAAAATATATTATTTTTTGTTTATTTAATTAATCAAAGATGTTTATATGTAGGTACTTTAAATAAATAAATATTTATGCCCAAGTAAAACAAATTAGTCATCCACTACCTAAATGTAAGCTCTAATTAAATAACTTGCTCTTGGAAATAAGCACCATGAGAGATCTCAAATATAAAACCATTAGGTAGGTACTGTAACTGTAAATTGTTTTTACAAGTGTTTTTGGAAATTCAATAGCTAACCTTCTTAAAGTTCCCATAGTGTCAATATCTACAAGTACCTATAAAAGCTTCGACAAAATTTTATCTACATCGAACAATCATTAGGTATAAATAACCTTATAAATTCTAAAATTTAAATAAAACCACGGTATACTCATCTAATATTTTTACTTGTAGTAGTCTTTCTTATCCAGCTTAAAGTATACCTACATAAAGTTTTGTCAATACAATTACGTATAAACCTTCAACTGAATTTTATCTTCATCGTAAAAATCAATATAACTTTTAAAAATTTCAAAAATCACATGTTATCGGAGTATTAAATATTTTTACATTGCATGTATCTCTAAAAATTGTTTGTTTCCTTATAATCTAACTTAAAGTAGGGATCCCGAGAGGTATGCACAAGTTTTGTTGTTAGGAGTATAAAAGCTTTAATTTAGTTTGAACCATATTCAACAATTATTTAGTATATCTATATTTATATGACCATATTAACACACTCTTCCAAATAATCCAAAATAATTATTTTGATCAAAATAGATTTTTCTAACCTTAAAATTTCAAAATTAGATGATATTTTTTGTTATAATATATTAACCTACCTTTGATACAGATATTCTTATTCCATAATAGACAAGCTAGATTTTTTTAATAAATGTCGTTTAGTTAAAACTATTTTATGGATAAAACCAGATATATGTAGACCAAATGCACAAAAATTTTACTTATTTGGCACTATACACTTTAGAATTTCATTAAATGCAGTATTTATACTCCTAAACTCTTAAACCAACCATTGTTGCTGTGATACTATAAAGATTTATAAACTTTTAACGCTTAAACATAAATGGTAACAGTATAAATATTATTTCTTGCATTGACTATACTTTGACAGATACATAACCTGAAAAGCCTTAAATGACAAATTATCAAAAGACTGCGTTCCGTACGTGGTCACGTGGTGGGACTTTGAAGTGTGGAGCATAGTACCTTTAAAAGCATGATATTTTAAATGTTATTATGGTTACCGTTTGACAGTAACTGTCAACTGTTGGGGTAACTTGATTCCCAGCCTATAGGCTTGACTTTAGTTTAATTTTAAAGTACGATAATAAAGAATGCTTTGCCTCTCGAAATATACTAAAATATATTTAAACAAATGGTCATATTACTATTACTATAGAGTCACTGAAATACTTGTTACCATTTTTAATTAAAATTTCTTTGATTTTGTTACCTTTTGTCCGCATCCAACAATAAAAGCGAAAAAAGGCGTTTATATAACAATATGCGGGTACGTGCACTAGTTATAATTTTAATCGTCCCTACAACAGGCATTAATTATTGCAAATAATTTTTTATATGTCAAACAATAAAAGAATATCTATATTATCTGATACATTATAAATAATGTCATTAGTTTTTTAAGCAATGTTGCTTAAGTAACTTTATGGTCTTTATAAACGTCTATTTTTGAAAAAAAGGCTGCAGCGCCCCCTGTATGTAAAAAAATAAAACTTTTTTTTGTTGCGTTTTAGTTACCAATAAAAGCCATCACCTGGAGTTCCTTAGTTTAAAAATAAGGATAGAGTTGAAAGTGTAATTCAATTTTTTTTAATGCGGTAGACCAAACTTTAAGTTGGCTTTACGGGCGGCAACATCATTTGCAAGTAAATTTTTATATGTCGAATTATAAAGGAATATCTATATTATCTGGTACGCTATTTAGTTTTTTTGAGCATTGTTGCTTAAGAGAATTTTTTGTCTTCAAAAAACGTCTACTTTCGAAGAAAAAAAAATTGCAGCGCCACCTGTATGTAAAAAATTAAAACTTTTTTTTGACAGAATTGTGGGTACTAATAGGGGTCATACATGGGCCAAATTTCAAATCATTCAGTATTTTAATAAAAAATGTATGCCAAAATAATGGAATTTGGCCTTTTTGTGAAAGGCAAAATTAAATGGTTTCTAGGAGCTAAAGTTTAAGTCAGATGAAAGAAAAATTTTAGATTTAGTGTTAAATTGGATGTATAAACAAAATATTAAAATTAAAAAAAAAATCTGAGATGTGTTGTAAATCGATCGTTCGATTCTTTCGCGAAATCATAGTTAAACTCTGTGCAGTGATTTTTAGTATTTTTAGTATGGGATAGAACAGACCTTGTTGTGTGAATTATTATTATAATTACTTAAGTCAGTTTTAAGCAATAATTCTTGTACGCTTTTTTAAAAATACAACTGTACAGGGTGATCCCCTATAATGTCGCCCCCCTTTAACTTTTTTATTTTAAGTGTCCCAAAAAATTTAAAAGTGTAATTATGTAGGTACTAAAAAATACTTTTTTTCTACGTATAAAGAAAATTGAAAAATTGATCAGTATACAGGGAAAAACAAAAAGTTTATTCTTTTTTCATTGGATCACCCTATATATGTATTTATTTTTCGTTTCCTTGCAAAATTCTAAGTATATTTCATATGACATACCATATACCTAAATCAACCGTTTCTGAAATATTTAAAATATTTTTAAGATAATAAGTTGAAATAGTTTGTCTTTCTCTGTCTGAGTACGCCATTTTTACTTATTTAACAAGACATATTGACATAATGTCACTATAGTAATTTATTTTCAATAAAAATTTTGGTATACTGAGGCTTCTTGATTTCTAACAGTTTAAAAAAACATTTAATGATAACATTTCGAATGCGAATATTTCAGAAACGGTTGAATTTAGGTATATGGTTTGTTGTATGAAATATGCTCAAAATTTACAAGGAATCGAAAAATAAATTCATATATAGGGTAATCCTTTAAAAAAAATAAACTTTTTGTTTTTCCATGTATAATGATAAATTTTCCATTTTTTATACATAGAAAAAAAGTATTTTTCAGTACCTACATAACCACACTTTTAAATTGTTTGGGACACTTAAAATAAAAAAGTTAAAGGGGGGCGACATTATAGCGAATCACCCTGTACCTAATAATTATTAACGTAGAAAACCACTGTTTTGACGTTTTTAGTTTACCATACAAATTAATCGTTGTCATAGCAACGTGGTATTTCCACTTATTAATTCATTACATTGTTACAACCATAATCCACACAACAAGGTCTGTTCGATCTCGTTCTAAAAATACTAAAAATCACTGCAACACTGCACATCATTCAATGGCGGCCATTTTTGTTTACAATTCTTGTACTTTGGGTTTGTACATATTAATAATTGTTTTAAACGTTGTGTTTCTTACAGAGAGACTTGCAAGCCCTAAAAGAGACTTTAAAGTTGTAAGAACAATCATTTTACTCCTCTTTTGTAAAAAATAAACCTTATTCTATCAAGGCTGTCATCAAATTGTCAAATGTCAATTTTAAGGTTATTTTATAACCCACAAATTAACCTTCAAATTGACATTTGACAGCCCTGATAAAATAAGGTTTATTTTTTACAAAAGAGGAGTAAAATGATTGTTCATTACCACTTTGAGGTCTCTTTTAAGGCTTGCAAGTCTCTCTGTAAGAAACACAACGTTTAAAACGATTATTAATCTGTACAAACCCAAAGCACAAGAATTGTAAACAAGAAAAATGGCCGCCATTGAATGATGTGCAGTGTTGCAGTGATTTTTAGTATTTTTAGTATGAGATCGAACAGACCTTGTTGTGTGGATTGTGGTTACAACAACGAATTAGTGAAATTTTCATTACAAATATTTTTTTTAATTCCATTACAAATTTTTTTTTTCATGGTTTATTTAAAATGTATGTCATTGTTATCAAATGTTTTTTATGTTTAAATTGAATTTTTTTTTACATTTTCCTTGATTTTGTAAATGTTTATACTCTCAAAACACATTGTTTCCTATACCAGGCGGAGGTTTCGGCGGCGGCGGCCGAGGCGGTGCGCACGGCGGCGGCGGCAGAGGACGCGCGACACGCGATCGCGATCTTATCGGCACGACCATTAAAATTACGCGCGGCCCCTACAAAGGCAACATCGGAATCGTCAAGGACGCCACGCAGAGCACCGCTCGTATCGAGCTCCACACTTCCTGTCAAACGATCTCCGTCGACAGAAACAACATCGCTGACGTCGGAGCTACCAAAGATACCGCAGGTAGCGCCACCAGTTACGGCAGAACCCCGGCCTACACCGGAAACCAGACTCCGTTGTACAGGTATGTGTTTCGAAGGAAGTTACGGGGTTATCACTGTAAAAATTGGGGGTTTATATAGAGGGTATTAAGTCAACTAAGTTTTAAATTTGAAAACTTAAAGTTTAATGGTTTTGAAGTTTAATTTAAATTTAGTGAAGGTAACTTCAAAATTTTACAATAGGATTTTAAGAGTTGTTGACTTAAAAAGTTGTGGGGTTATATTTATAAAATTTGGATATGTTGTAGATGCAATAATAATTTAACTATTTACCAAATTTCAGTACTTTCTTTATTATAGTTTTTTGGTTATAAGCAAAATTGTTATTTTCATTTGAAATATATACACTCGAGTAAACCCGAGTGAACCCGAACGTCCCTTACCAGATGCCCCTCCCCAGATGCATTGTAAGTGGATTGCCGTAGGCGACGATTCAGTTGTGTTTTGCATTTGCTAGCGTGTATTTCGAGCGTTTAACATAACACATACACATTGCAAGAGAAAATTGACATGATAAGCTGGTCTTTAGTGGGCAATTCTCTACGTCAAACAAGAGACCTATTTTCAGTTAAATATCCGGATCGTTCTATTAGAATTAGAACAATAACAAACCCAAAGATTATGCAAAATGGTTGTATGTAATTAATTTATTTAAATTTAATTTAAGAAGTTTGATTTTTAATTTGTTTTGAAGAGAATTATTTTATTTTTTTATGTTTAAACGTTTTTTAAACACTTTAAATGCGAAACAAATAATGATTTTACACCTTTAATTGAATGGTGTTATGCAACAGGGAACTATCCCTCATAATAAAAAAGGGGGATAAATGTATTAACGTGATGGGGCCATGTAGAGCCACCTTTTGAAAATATTTAAAAAAAATAGAACATGCAAAAAAATACTGAATTAAAATATTCAAAATAATATAGAACTCTGCAACAAAGCTTTAAGCTGCATGGTTGTGCCAACTTTCGCTTATATATTGAAATTGTGAAAGGTTATAAAGCGCCAAGCAGCTTGGTTAAGGTCTCTGGTTAAAGTTGAAAAAAATAATGTTGGAAAAAAATGAACCAATGGTTTTATATACAAAAGACAGTTACGACGAAGAAATTTCGTTTGACAAAATCAATATTTCAAAAAAAAAATAAAAAAAGATCAGGAGGATCTCTCTAAAATTAAAAGATTTAAAATCTATTTTCACCTTCTTCCAAATGATGCCTTGCCATTTTATGTAAATTTAAAATCAGATATTAGATTGAAGAGGATCCTGGAGGGTTTCAGTGGATCTTTGGATTTTGAGATAGAGAAGAAATAAAACAATTCTTTTATTATTATTATTCACTTTATTAGTAAATATTAATGAATTAAGAAATTTTGGTTTCCATGTTATAATAAAACAATAGGCAATAACAATTAGTTTTATTAATTCTACAAGGGTGGTTGGTCCCAAATTTACTTATTGAAAATAATGAAAATGATATAAGAAATAAAAATTTTATACTAAATTAGCGATTTGGAAATAAAATTAAAACGTTGAATCTATAATTAAGACCACAGTAATTTTTCGGATGCTATTATCTTAGTTTTGCAACAGTAAGGGTTCCCTGTTGCATAACACCATTCAATTAATAATTTACTGTTAGAGTTGATAACGTTACATTTGAAGTATCCAAATCATTTTCAAAAGTAAATTAACTTATTAGTGTAATTCATATTAATAATCCAGAGCAAACTTCGACTATCACCCAATGCCGGTGAAGGGTCTACTATTGAATTACAAAAACCTTAAAAACCGAATGAGGCCTGTCTACATGTAAAATGAAAGTACTGTATAGCGCTTTTACGGTTACCATTTTTCGAACCACGATAACCTAAAAACTATTTCCTTTAAAATTCTAAAATCTTTGTAAGTTGTACACACAATATTTCTGTACACCCACGCAAAATCTTAACTTCCCACCTAAAAAATGCTTCATTTTACAAACAAAAAACACGTTTTAGAAAATCGGGCAACAAAACTCCGATGTGCGACTCTGCCGGATCTCGTACGCCTCTGCATTACGTTTCAAAATTTACTTATAATTCTAAAATCTTTGTATGTTGTACATACAATATTCCTGTACACCCACGCAAAATCTCAACTTCCCTCCTAAAAAATGCTTCATTTTACAAAAAAAACACGTTTTAGGGAATCGGGCAACAAAACTCCGATGTGCGACTCTGGCGGTTCTCGCACGCCTCTGCATTACGGTTCCATGACTCCATTACACGATGGGTCGAGGACACCCAACGCTGGGTCCGAATGGGACGCCTCTGTCTCGCAGGCGTACCCAAGTCCTGGGTACGATCCCAGTACCCCGGCCTACCAGGTCAACGGGCCGTTTACACCGCAGACTCCAGGTAAGTGTACTAATTTTAAAAGAAAATTTTTTGCTTGAAATTTTAAAAAATTTATAATTGCATACTTTAGGCTTAAATATGAACGTGTGGGTCAAAATATAAAAATCTTAAATTTACAGGATACTTATTTCTTATCCTTGCAAGATTTTTTTTGTATTTAATTTGCTTGTGCAAACGGTTAAAGATTTTGACTTTAACTTAAAGAAAAGCAAAACTATTAGCGGTTTATTTATTTTTAGTATACAATTTTACAGTGAAATATACAATTAAATAAATAAAATAAATAAATTTTATATGCAGGGAGGCCCTTACGCTTTTGAAGTTTACTGTTAACATGACATAAATAAAATAGGTGAAAAATAATGATTTTGTAAACCTTCTATAGTCTAAGGATTGGATTAATTCAAATATGAATTATTCAATGAAAAAATATTACGATGTGTTTTAAATTGGTATATTATTGGTGGTTTATTATTTCGTCACGTTATTTACTTGAAATTTTATAATTAATGCCACAATAAATAACTTGCTTCCTTAATGCATCGCAAGTGTCTTTGCAACAAAAAGTGTTTCAGCCAGGCAAATTTGTACTAATTTTTATACCCAAATTTTAAAATTTGTTTATGTTACCTGGTTATAGTATTAAGGTGACGATTTAATAATGGGGTTTCCAGATAATGTACATTTTGTGAGAATTTACCTTAATTACAAAAATGACACCATCAACAATAAATTAAATTTACAATTTAAATTGTTTTTCATCGTGTCATTTTGGTAATTAAGGTGAATTCTCACAAAATGATACATAAAATAATGAGAAACAATAAATTTTAAAGTGAGGTTAGAACGGTCTGACAGTTGTCAGATTTGATGATGGTATACGAGGGGCGACTATAATGATAAGTACTTTTTAAAGCGTATAACAATTTTCATTTAACACTCCTAAGTCTATATGGTTCAAAAGTCAAATTATTATACACCGCCCTTCGATAATAAAGCTACAATTGCACGTGCCAGTTGAACCTAACCTAAAAATTGAAAAAAAATATTCTAATTAAACGGTAAAAAAATGTATACAAAATCTGCTGCCTCGGCAGTGAAATGTATGCTCGTCAGCGGCAGTAACAGTTATTTAAATCACTGGGCCAAGAAGTAAGTCTTTTTGTGCAATTAAGTGAAACACAAAAAGACACTTTTTAGGCAAATGGCCACAACATTTTATCTTTATGGCACAATGTTGTTTGTTACATAAAACGTACTATGGTGCACACCCAAAAGTCCCACCACTTGACTTTGATACTAATTAGTATATTACACTACAAGACACTACATGACGCGCAGGACCGAGATTTCAACGTTTGGACCGTGTGGTGTATACTATTTTTCTTCATACATCGGTTGAAAGTACGTACTTTCGTCCCTAATAGCACAGGGAGTAAATGTTAAACTTTCATCCCTGCTATTAGGGACGAAAGTAATTACTTTCAAACAAGGTATGAAGAAAAATTAATTTTCTGTCAGTGTCTGGCTAATTTCGTCTTATTTTCTAAAAATAATACAATATACAGGGTGTTATGTAATTAATGTTATATATTAAAATGGGTTGTTCCTTAGGGTCCATAAAGAAGCACCTGAAACTTTTTTTTCTAAATTCCAAAGTCTAAAAATAATTTATAATAACCTTTATCCTACCAAAAAGTACGCCACTGATCGACTAGGAACTTTAGGTTAATCTGGTGGATTTATTATGTTATGGTTGGTAACAGTGTTTCAAAAATCTCTCAAAAAAGTTGACAAACATTGTTTAAATTTAGCTTAATTACAAAAATGACAAAATTAACAATGCAAATTGTCAATTTGGCGTTTTTATTAATTGTTGGTTATTTCATTTTTGTACTGAAGGTAAATTCAAACAAAATCTGCCAACTTTTATGACAGAATCTAGTGCATTTCTTTTAAATTTTAGGTTATTTTTTCAAATTGTAAATATCTTAACTAAGGGAAGTGCTTTTGGATTTATTTACACAAATTAAATGTTTAAAGTTTAACCTGTGAACTGGTCCCAATTTCATCTGAGTAAACAGAGAAAAAAAACTGATGAAAAAATTAATTTTGTGGTTATGGATTTCAAATTTCAAAGGTACTAAATTTTCTAATCATTGCTTAAGCTAATAGCTGGATCAGTAAATAAATACAGAAGGGTATTAGAGCTTTAAGGGCATAAAACTTTTGTATTTATTGAGTTTTTATTTATTTTTTGGAAGAAAAATTTTTAGTAACAATGTTTTACATCTGGCAACGCATAGCTACTTTGTTGGTTGGTATCTATGTACTCACAAAATACAGGTGTGCAGAGATAAACAAGTGTGTAACCAGTGGCGTATCACAAAAAATATAAAAAACTTCTAATGCATATTTTTTCTTTATCTTTGGAAAAATGTTTTTTTTAAATATTTTTCCTTTATTCCTTATGTCAAAAGGTATTCAGTATTTTAATATATAACATTAATTACATAACACCCTGTATGTATTTTTGTGTTCTAAATGTGTTCTAAATTATACACTAAAAAAACATCAATTGCAAATTTGAGTTGGGAAGGTCATTTTTGTGGTTATACTGATTCGTCCCATATATTCTAGAAACGGTTTTAATAAATTTTTGATATCTTTTTTACGTTCAGACTTAGAGCGTATATCTCGTTTTTAAATGAACATTTTCCGAAAATAGGATAAAATTAGCTTGACACTTTAGTTTTATATTATGCAATGACCATTTAATGACATGAGCATGAGAATTAATTAGACCCCTGGTGAGGTTAATTTTTTAATTTTACATTCACTATCGCACTTGTTTACTAATTTTAACTTAAAAAATTAGTTTAACAATTTTCCATGTAGGTAAACAGTAACTTGTCAAAATTTATAAATATACGCTAAAGAAGCATCCCTGGTAGCGCCACCACGTGGCCACGTGGAACGTGATCGTAACCAGAATTCGGCTTTCAATAAGCAGCTGTCAAACGCGTATGTTACATACGAGTGTTTTTGACATGGAGTCCAAACTTTATGTATACAAAAATCTTCCTAAGATAAGAGGGCAGACGTCAATACACATCGACAAAAAAAGACTTAATTTGTGAGATTTACAGGGCAGGTTTTGCCAATTTCCCCTATTAAGTTTGGGCTCATTGTGTAGGTTGAAATACATGATGGTAAACATTTAATATGCCTATATTGGCTAAGCAAAACACTTGATGGTAAAAATTTAATACGCTTATATTGGAGAAAGTGGTGACCTGCTACCACAACTAACGAAAAAAAATAGATATCATGCAATGTTTGGAGGTTCCGCCGCCTTCTTAAAGTTTAGAAGGTGGCGGACCCTTCAAACATTGTCCGATAAAAATTTGTTTTTTTTTTTGTTAATTGTGATAATAGTTCACCACTTTTCCAAATATAGGCGTATTAAATTTTGCTCAGCCAATAAAGGCATATCAAATGGTTACCATCATGTATTTCAGTCCACCCTATTGTGTAGGCTCCATGGTTTTTGAGAATAAAGCCGGAAAAAAACCGTGGCTCGATTTTTTGTGTTGAGGAAATCCTGGGTTGAGTTTTTACCGGTTTTCCAATTAACAGTGTTAATCTGAATGAAGAAATAAATTGCATACAGTCTCTGTAAATATAAATTGTACCTATTAGATACAATAAATACACATTTTAGTAGTGATTAACGTGAAAAGTGTAAACATTTCAATTCAGTAAAAATCGTCAAACAAATAAGTCGTCTAAATTTAAACAGTTTTTAGCATTATTAAAAGCGTTGATTAAGAAGTCTCCACTCAACGGTAAAATACCATTATATTATGTATTATATTTAATATTATGTTGCCATTAATTCCTAGGTATATTTTGTTGTTTAAAATGCAGTTGTCGGCGTTTTTTAGATAACTAAAATATAAAAATGGTTGATTTTAAGGTTATGTTTGTGCAAAAATTATTTTTTACTTATTTCTTAAAAATGTCCAAACTTAAATATAAATTAGTTTATTCTGCACAAACAAATGTACTTACCGAATTGGATCCTTCGGCAAAACATGAAAATGCAACGATTTAGTTCTTGAATTTCATTTACAATTAAAAACACAATAATTCACCATGATCCTTTAGATAAAATACACACACTAACTTAACTATATAAGCATTTAACTATGATTTCGCGAAAGAATCGAACGATCGATTTTTTTTTTAATTTTAATATTTTGTTTATACATCCAATTTAACACTAAATCTAAAATTTTTCTTTCATCTGACTTAAACTTTAGCTCCTAGAAACTATTTAATTTTGCCTTTCACAAAAAGGCCAAATTCCATTATTTTGGCATACATTTTTTATTAAAATACTGAATGATTTGAAATTTGGCCCATGTATGACCCCTATTAGTACCTACAATTCTGTCAAAAAAAAGTTTTAATTTTTCACATACAGGTGGCGCTGCAATTTTTTTTTCTTCGAAAGTAGACGTTTTTTAAAGACAAAAAATTCTCTTAAGCAACAATGCTCAAAAAAACTAAATAGCGTACCAGATAATATAGATATTCCTTTATAATTCGACATATAAAAATTTACTTGCAAATGATGTTGCCGCCCGTAAAGCCAACTTAAAGTTTGGTCTACCGCATTAAAAAAAATTGAATTACACTTTCAACTCTATCCTTATTTTTAAACTAAGGAACTCCAGGTGATGGCTTTTATTAGTAACTAAAACGCAACAAAAAAAAGTTTTGCCGTTATTACAAAAGTTGAAATTGGAGAGGGAAAATATCATGCTTTTAAAGGTACGCAAAGTTAATAAATTTTCTTTAAGTAAATCAAAATTCTAGGAATTGAATTTTCTTCTGAAGTAAACATGAAAGTTCCTTGGACATCATCGAGTCGACAAAAGGAAAATCTAAATAATTTAAAAGCAATTAAATATAGGTGCGACGAATTACTTTGC